AAGAGTGTAGTAAATGCACTGTCCTGGTTTTGGCTGGGACAGAATTAGGTGTTGGGTTTTTTTTTTTTTCCTTTCTTCTTCTAGTAGCTGGTATAGCACTGTGCTTTGGATTTAGTACAAGAATATTGTTGATAAACTGATGATTTAGTTGTTGCTATGTAGCACTTACACTAGTCAAGGGCTTTGCAGCTTCTCATGCTCTGCTAGTGAGAAGCTGGGAGTGCGCACAACCAGGACAGCTGACCCAAACTGCCTAAAGGGCTATTCCATACCATATGGCGTCATGCTCAGTATATAAACTGGGGGGGGTTGGCCAGGGCAGGTACCACTACTCAGGAACTGGCTGGGCATCAGTCAGCAGGTGGTAAGCAATTGCATTGTGCATCACTTATTTTGTATATTCTTTTATCATTATTATTATAATTATTTTCCCTTCCTTTTCTGTCCTATTAAACTGTCTTTATCTCAACGCATGAGTTTTACTCTTTTTTTCCCCTGATTCTCTCCCCCATCCCACTGAGGGGTGAAGTGAGTGAACGGCTGTGTGGTTTAGCTGCCTGCTGGGTTAAACCACAACATACACAAACAAATTTTATCCCATTTCATGCCACATCTAAAACAATACCCAGTGAACTACATCAGCAGTTTTAATTCATTTATATTGTATTTAATTGTGAACTTGAGTACTTTATAAAATATCCTGCCTCTTCCATGGGAGGTAACACAGATTTCAAGTCTTCATGTCTAACAACCCTTATTGCTGGCAAGCCTGACAATAGCTGGACACAGTTAATAGTGATGGCTGATACTTTTCCAGCTTTATACCAAATATCCCCTACACTGAACACACAGCAAAGCAACATCAACAGCTACCACATACATTTTGAAAAGTAAAGGAAGTCTAATGCTTGCGGTTTAGAACAAGTTTTAAATAACTATATTCAGTTTAATAGCAGCAATACCAGACTACATCAGCTGAAGGGCAGGTCACCATACCTAGGGAGGCTAGTGCTAAGTATAACAAAACCACAACCCATACTGGATAAAGAGAAGGCCAAGTAGAGGGATGGATAACATCTGTATTATGTGTTATTCCTGGAGGCTTACGTCAGCTCACAGTCTCTTTAATTGCATTTAAAGTCTCTGCTGATCAGAGTAATCGCAAAGCATCTGGGAACTCTGCTGCAGGGGTACGATGCTCTCTGAAACCTCCTTCAAACACAGCATGGCTGCAATTGCATGCTTCATGACAACACTAATCACCCTAAAACCAGCATGATTTTTAGCGTGTACTCTAAAGTTAAATTGTCACAGTGCTGCTGCCCAGGACAAGCAACAGGATCACATACACAGCAATGGTGGCCTCTGGCAACCTCAAAACAGCAGCTGTGGTTGCCTCCTGATATTCATGCCAAGTTACAGCAAGTTAGCAGCAAACTGTAAGCTTCTCTTGTGGGTTAGGCAAGTATTTTTCCATCATTTAACTGCCTATGCCTAGGAAAGAAATAAAGGCAGGCATGAGTTTTCTCTGGAGGTACTTTTATTTATTACTATTATTTTCATGAAATTAGTACAATGAAACTAAGCTGAGGTCAGCATCACTGAGGTCAGGGTCAGTGTGTTACTGTCCCAAAAAGAGCTAAATACAACCCTGCCTCAAACAGCTCACAACCTAAATGAAGAAAGGCTAAATGTCCTTCCAAAGGTCACTCTGCAGCAGAACCACAGCCAGGGCAGGCTCTTGTCTCCCTCTCCTGTAGCAAAGCCACAGGAATGTGGCCTTCACTATCCTTTCTTCAGCTGCCAGACTTTGTTTCTTACTGCCAAGCTGGGCTAAACTCCTGCTGAGAACAACGGCAGCTTTACTGGAGGAAGGACAGCTTTCAGCACAGCTTGAGAAACAAAGATTTGCTTACACACCTGTTTGATGTGCAGCAAAAGGAACAAAATACCATAGGAACTGATGGTCTGTGGACTTCCGAGTTATGCAACTATTTTCTCTGTGGAAATAATCTTGCTGTATGTATGTAAAGAGGCCAGAAGGCAGAAATAACTATCCTGACCCAAGAAACTTCCTCTCACAGCCTCCAAGGTGTCATTAAGACACCTACAGGGCTGATGTTCCTGGGCAGCATGATACACTACAGTGGCTGCAGGCAGTGCAACAGCTCAAAAATAACACACTTACAGGCTCTGGAGGTGGTGGTGGCGGCGGCTCCTTGATCACCTGGAATACATAAACAATGGAAGAAATCTGAGATAAAGGCAGGGTTCATCCATCTCAATGCTATGTCCTCTCTGCTTTCTTGCTCATACCATAGATGGGTTGCCCTGCTCCATTCCTCCACATTTAATCCTCTCATCAGCAGGCATAAAATAAAGATGAGATGCTAAATCCATCACATTGAGCTATCTGGTAAGTCAAGAAGTGCCCTACTGAGTAACTCATAATACAGCTCCATATTCTGGTAGTTCTGCCTGAAAAGTGTCATAAAATTGTCAAGCTAGTGCAAAATATTCACTCAGAATCTGCAGCTCCTCCGAATAAAAAAAAGAAAGCCTAACTCTTGACTTTAAAAAGGACCGTAAAAGCTTATGCACATATTAGTAAATCAGTTCCATTATACTTTTCTGCAGCAGGTTTCAAATCTTGTTCTAAGGAGGTCTCGATCCCTACAGAAACTTGGGCCATATCCATGAGCTCACTTAAACTTCTCATTCAGTGTCAAAATCACATAGGCCTTGCAACATTCAGAAACCTAGACAAGAGTGACTTCAACAAGCACTTTAAGCAATTTGTTGAATCAGGCCCTTACAAACCCAGCAGCATTTTTCTTAAACAAAGTTAACCACCCACTCCAACATTTTAACTCTGTGCTTCCGCAGAGAAGAGATGAAACCAAGTCAAAAGGATAAAAACCTGTACTTACCACTGTACAGCAAAGGGGCCAGAACCACCACAGAAGAGCCAGAGCCATCAGCAGAAAGAGAATCAGGAGAGCAATGAAAAGGATGGTCCCAGTCAGCTGCAAAGAAGATTATTACTTCTGAGTTACCTATGCATGTCACAAACAAGGCAGGAGCCCTGAAGTTACACAATTAGGCTGGGCAAAATGAGCCAGGTTTCCCTGACTATGAGGTCTCAGGTAGATTGTGCAAGTCAATCACTATTATTATTAGGGTCACATCAGTATTTGGTGAGACAAATCTGTATTTGAAGTCATGATTCAGGGAAGCACCTCCTGTTTGTGGTGTGTATATGTATAATTTATGTATAAATTTATGGTATGTTTATAGCCCACTAGATTCAAGGGCGTTAAGCTTGTATACAAACCAGTCCCAAATCTGTGCTGACAGGTCCCTTAATACTGTCAGAGGGGCATTGCAAGCTACATTACCACAGACTCTCAGGTGTGCAGAGTAACCTTTCGTCACTAGAGATGCAGAATGTGCAAATGCTGATATTCAAAGAATGGGAATATCGGAGCTAAGACCTTATAGGTAACTGTTTGCATGTCAGCATCACAGAACAGAGCACAACTTACTTGGCCTCACCAGCTCCCAAGCCTGCCTGTATTGCCTCTTGACTCAAACTGCACACACAACCAAAGCCTGAGGGATTATGCAAACTAGTCCTTAATGCTGCTGGTTCTTTGTATGCTTCCTAGGGCTGGTTTGACTATTTTAAATGAGATTCTATAATCACGATCTTAAGCATTTCCGATTCTTATATTCCATCTACTTCTCTGCAGAGAACAGTGGGACTCTGAGGCTGGATAGCTAAGGATCTACATTCAAAAAATCAAAGTTAATTTTTCTTTAAAATGACTAGAATCCAAAAAATTTCAAGTGTTAACACTTGAAATTAGCTTTTCAGAGCAGCCAGGCAGCCAAAGAGAATCATGGCTCTGATTTTCCTGGTTAAATCTTGACAGATTCTTTGTACTCGGAGCATTTCATGTCAGTGTGTTCAGAATAGGTATTAACTCTGTGTATTACTCTGATGACTACAGGAAAGCAGGTCTTCGCATGCTTCTTGGCTCCTGCAGAACATACAGAGAACATGGCTCCTTGGAAATTAAAGATTTGTTGCAGATGGGTAGTGACATGCTGTTTCCTTGGACTGAACTGGGCTCTGGGATGAGGTTAAGATCAGCTCTGGTGCTCCAGCCATTTCTTTTATACTGGGAAAAGAAACCTCTTCAATGCTAGATTTTCCAAGTTTGAGAAGAGGTTCAATTCACCAGCAACAGAGGTACCAGAGAACAGGCAAAATCTGGCAGCAAACTAGAGAAGAGCCTGGGACTAGGAAGATGTGAGAAGAGCTTTGAAGAAAGGTCTGTGAATAAGGCTGAGGAAACAGGAGCTGGCTAGAGAGGAAGCTGTAGGAGATTGTCAAAGAAGGATAGGTGGGAGGATAAATGGAAAGAAAGCAAATTCCAAAGAAGATTTATGGAGGATAAACTCCATGAGATTCAGCTTATTAAATCTGAAACTACTTGCTGAATTCCCATGGCACCAGAAACCGATGCTTAGCTCCTTCTTACAACAGGAGTTCCCTTCACTGTTCCGAGTGGGTTTGTCTTCCCCTCAGGACAATGAAAAAACTGAAGGTGGAAAAGAAACTACCAGTTGATAAGAGCTTTGCAAAGTCTGGGTGAGATCCTGAGTGGCTGACTTGGGTAGTACCTAGTTCTTCCTCAGGCCAAATCCTAGAGCTGTCAGGACTGACATGTTCGAAGATTGGACTAACACAGCCACGACTCCTACTCCACGCTTTTTAGGCAGGTAGCCCAGTATCCCATATGTGTGTCATGGCATCACCATCCCTCCACTGCTCTGTGGCTTCTTGTTATAGATGCAAACTGACCTGTTCTGGGATATGCTATTTAGCTCACCTCATTCATTTGGTCAGGGAGGAGCTGAAAGCCAAGGTGGAGTGCTGCGACATGTGCCAGACCCCCTGCTCAAATGAGTCCTGTTAGAAGACACCCTCCCCAGCTGCAGTTGAGTGCTGCAGCCCCCCTCTCTGGCCCTCCTATGGCCCCATGTAGCACTAACACATCTGGAAAGCAGAAACTTGGGCAGCATGAATTCCCAGTGAAGTCAGTTTGCTGAGAAAAGGATGAGAAAGTCAAGCATAACTTTAAGAGGTATTGCTGCACTCCTTAAAAACAAATCCAAGCCCAGCATCAATGCAGTGCATGAGCCACAGATGCAGATACCACTGCTACTGTTATTCTAAAAACACATTACCTCCTTGTTTTGTAGCCTTTGTTCCCAGGCATTGCTTTTCCCATGCTAAGTGCTCGTATAAATTGCTGAGACATTTGCCAGCAGCAGCTCAGGAGCTCCTGGCAGCAAGAACCTACAGAGTTCTCTTTTAATGATTAAATATACAAAGCATCATAGTGAAGCTGGATTTCAAAAAGGAAATAGCAGACTTCATGCAGCTGAACAGAAATAAGCACAGGAATCACACAGAGGCTTTAGGAGTAAAGTGAAGATACTTACTGTACAGAAAGGACAGAAGGGCCAGCTGGGGAGGAGAGCTGAGCAGGCCAGCTAACGGCCACCCACAGAAAAAGAAACAGGAGAGGAAAGGAAATGGAGGGAGTCTCTAAAACGAGAAGAGCGAAATGCATGAAATTAAGACAAAGTAGGAAACTGAACTGTCAACCTCCCTGCTTATGGGATGTAATTGGAATGAGAGGGTTTTTTGTACCAGCTGAGAATCAGGCTCTCTGCCTCCTTCACATTTAATCTGCAAAAGGCTGGTCAAAAATTGTCAGATTGACAGGACTGGAGATTGGATTCCTTCCTTTATCCTAAGGCTACTGAGAGGAAAGCTTCCTCCATCCATGCTCTGGCCTGTAGGAAGCCGAGCTAGGGCTAAGACTTCAGTCTTCATCAGAAATAAACTACATGTGGGTAACTAAATGCACCAGTTAACACTCGTGTTTCACTGCAGATTCAAAAGGTTTTATTGTACCTGAGGTAGAAGAGAGCAATAAAATGTGAAAATACCAGTCTTCAGTGTAAAAAATTTGGAGGAAACTTTTGGAAAAATAAAAATAATCAGGTGAAGCAGCAAACACATCTCTGCTAAATTCTGAGCCCTGCACCCCAGACTGTTCCAGCAATCTAGTATGAGATTTCCCGGCATCATTGCTGAAAACATCAAAAAATCAGATTTGCAAGCTCCAGTCACTGCCTCTATCTTCATTCCCGCTCTTCTGTTCTGCAGCTGTCAAAAAGGCCAACAATGATTACAAACCAATATGACAGCATTTGGTGTAGGCTATAAAAGTCCTTTTGACACTAGTAACAATAAAGCTCAACTTTGATGCAAAGTGTTTGCTACCAGGTACTTCAGCAAACTTTGTTTAGTCCACAAGCACAAGGCCAAATCTTGAACTACTGTACTTGCTGGCAGCAGCTATGGGCATTTGCTGATTTTTACTCCAAGGCAAGGAAGAAGACTGCTTATCTAGTAGTTAGCTTCTTCATTTTGATTGTTTGATTCTAAAATCAGATTTTGATAAAGGATCACTTCTAGCTGTTGGTCTCTGACACTCCACCTGGGGATAGGTGGTCTTTTTGACCAGGAGATGCTCGTATCACAGCCATCGCTGTCCCGCAGCAGCTGGGCTGAGCAGCAGCCTTTTATCAAGAAGCTCATCCCAGGATCTGAAGCTGCTGTCTCTTTCTGGTCATCCCCATGACACCAAGAGAAAAGCAACCAGCTCCTGTCACCAAAACTGTAAAAACACCTTAGCAAATCCTGAACCAGAAAGGCAAATTGTGGTGGTCTAGAACAAATGCTGTAAGCTCCAACCAAAAAAATAACCATGTAAATTTAGAGGACCTTCCATGCTGTGGCTCTTCCAGATCTAAGTCCTGGCAGTTGCACCTTTCACGCCAGATCCCATAAGGGATCCCAAAGCTCAACAGGGTGTTGCTTTCTGATGCTCCTTCCCTCATCTTCCCAGATTCCCTTCTAGTCAGATCCTAGCTTTGAGGATCATTCTTTCCTGGGATAGGAATGGGCAGGGTGCCTTTTGTTGTAATTTTTTATTCAGTAAATTGATCATGATCTATGGATCATCAATAACGATTTAATCTTAACTAGCCCTGGTTATTTTTCAAAGAACTGCTGGGATCCAGTCAATAACTGTGATGCAGAAGCTGTAGAGAGCTCGTGCTCACTCGAGGAGGCTTTGCCTGAAGAACCACTGTCTCTTTCCAAGGTCTCATGGTTTCTCTGTCAAGCCCCATTGCAATTACTTACACACTGTGTGCTGGTGATGCTGACAGAGCTGGAGATGAACGTTAGCCCGTTGTTCATGCTGACTTGGAGGAAAACCACCCTAAAGCACAAAACAGATACACTTATTTTTAGTGTCATCTTTATACCCATTGTTCCCTTTATTCTGGCTGTGTTTTAGCCATTGGCTCATGAACACGCATGGATAAGATGTCCTGCTGAGTCAAGGCATTTTCATGGCTTCAGGTGCTTACCTGCATTTGTCTCTGCTTGCCCAGGAGCTACCATTTTTATGTTGGCTTAATTGAGTTGGGGCATATGCTCTTTATTAAAAAACCTCCATCCCACCTGAAGCAAAGGGCACTAAGACAGTGAGTCATAACGTAAAGTCTCAGACATTTGCAATACTACTCTAGATAGCACAAGCAACTGAAAGGCTTTTTTTTCTTTTAAACCCTGTCTGCAGCTTAAAGAGCCAGAATGTGTTTTCTTTTATATCCAAGTAAATCCAGAATACCTGCACTGAGGTCAAGGGGTAAAAACACTGAAATGACAGTGGAATTAAAGAAGAATCTGGTCCTAGCCATTCTCTCATTCTCCAATATCAGAGAAAGGGTCTGAGAAGAAAAAAAACCAAAACCAAGCACACAACCACCACAACCAACCAAACAAAACAACCCACAAAAAAAACATCAAACAACTTTCCCTCACCCACAAATAGGAAAGGGGAGGGAGGCATTCCCCCTCACCCCCAGTATTTAAGCACCCACAAGATCACACAGGGGGAAGGTAGGGTCCTGTGCCATGTCTCCCAAGAGTCTGCAGGATTACAAGAGCTGAAAAACATGAACACTAGCCAGAGCAGGGCAAAACACAGGAAACAACATCTACAATAGCAGCAAAGGAATTCAAATCAAGCATCTCTTTTCAACCAAAATGAAAAGTTTGCCTGGAATTCAATTACCTCTTGGTCTGAAAAAACAGGATATAGGAGCAGAGGAGAAATCACCATTCTATGATATAGGATCATAGTCCAACAAGGCCTTTGAGTAAGCTATGCTAAAGACCCAATATTGAATAGAGCTATTCTGTCTCATACTAGGAGAAGATTTGGCACAAAGGCGATGCAGGTAATCCTGCCACACACACACACAAATTTATCAGCTTGGCACTTTGGGCAAAATTTGAGCCCTTGGCTCAGTAATGACATCCTCATCCCAGAAGTCCCCTCTCTCTCGACACATGTTGTAAAACAATACTTACTGTCCAGCATCTTCTATCACTGGGGCAGGACAAAGTAAGTACGTATCATGAACAAGGGTCGGCTTTTCATCTGAAAAGAAATTAATATAACTGTTGGGATGAAAAAAAGAAATTGTCCCAAGCAGGCCACCCCCTGGAGAAGTGTTGACACCAGTGACAGCCACAGACAAATTCAGTATACAGGCAAGTACCAATATTCCCCAGTGGTACTGATTACAAAGCCAGGAACTAGGATGACCATTCTTGTTGATGCCAATATAATGTTATCAGGCTACAGATACCACAGCTAAGAAATGGAAGTACATCTCTGTTCCTGACAGCAGTGATAAGCCATTTTGAAGCCAGCTTTGAGCAATATTATTCTTGTCTATCTGACAAGTGCATGCAAACTCTACTCATCCCAAATACTCTGAGCCCACAGGTTACTCAAGGGGTCAAAAGTATAGGGTTCAATTTTTGCCTACCCACTTCCAAACACACACACAGGAGAAGCTAAGGCTGCACTTTTTCAAGCCCAGGAAAAAGGAATAACAGAGACAGGGTGGAGCTGAAGTGGACAAGACACCAGAGGGAAAAAAAAGAAAAAAAAAAAACCAAACCACCAAACCCAAACATGGTTGGTCATATACAGGAGACAGGCAGAGAGGGTCCATGACTGATGTTACTGTGAGGACCTGTCCTGCACTAGCTGCTGCTTTTTCTTTCCCCAATCTCCCCTCTGTGGTAGCATCATCCGGAAACAGCCCGTGTTTATAGAGGTCCGGTGCAGGCAGAGTCAAAAGCAAGGCCATGGGTGTTTTCCTGCCTCCCTGTACTCTGCTGCTCCAAGAGTCAGCAGTGCTAATCCTGTTGCTTTCAAAAGCCACATCCAGAAAGGCAAGTCCCGTGAACACAGAGAGGAGGCCCAGCAGCAAGGCTGCAATGCCACTCCACTAGAAGTGCGTAGGCTGAGGCGCAAGAGCAGACAAGTCACTGCTGTGACTGCACCTTAGCTCCGAATGGCCCAAAGCAGCTAAGACGCTAGTCCAGAGAAAGATTGGTTCACTAAAGTCCAACCCAAGTGAATTAGGGGCTGGTAAAAGCTGCCAGGTTATTTAAACCTTAGAGGTTTGATTACTCTTTCTACCTAGGAAAAAAAAATTAACTCAAGCAACAACAGATATGAGAGTTGTTCTTTCATGCTTCACCCACCCCAAACACACCTGAAGACAAAGCTCGTTTCCCTGTTTTGGCAGAGACCATGGAAATTATAGTGACATGTTTTAGGGCCAGCCTGAGGGGAAAAAAAGCCAGCCAGCATAGATCAGTGTCTCATCACAACATCTGTTGTGGACCAAGGAGAACACAGCACAGAGGAGATGTAGAATTAGGGTAGTTTTCCTCCTGTGTACTTCCAGGCCTGAGTCAGCACTCACTGTGTGAAGTCCTGTCAAGGTGCCAGTGCATTAGGGACAAGGAAGAAAAAAACCAAAAGTCTGTCTACCTGGTAAACCACAAGAAACAAATCCCTGGCAAAGGGCATCTGTAAGTGGAATGAGAGTGAAACCAGAGTTTATTTGATGCAGCCTCCACGTAGGCAACTAGGATGGGAAACGAAGGAGCAATTCATGTGCTCCCTCTTGTAAATTAATTCACTGCTAGGGAAGGCACCAGTCTGACCACGACAGGATATGAAAGCCTCTACTGTGCTCAGCCAACAAGGGTAGCATATACAGAAAAGGAGCAAAGCTCCCCTCCCCACACTGTGTTTCACCCTGCCAGACATACACTGCTTCTCAGGAATAAGAGAGGACTGCTGAGAAACTGGACACTCAATCTTTTTTGGCCATTCAGTCCTTTGCCTGGCTGCTGAGACAGCAACAAAAGACCCTGTTTAGCACAGCGATGACAGGGAGTTTCCGTGTTACATGCTTGCTGCGATGAGACCAGCAACTGGCATCAGAGAAGAATGTAGCAGGCCTGGGAGGGCCCTGCTTTATGGTGAGTGTCTCCTGAATTGGAGAATAAAGAGTCTGAAGGCACCACAAGAGGATCAAGGTAGTGCTATTTCTTTTCACTGGTGATGAACAAAGGAATGCGGAGCAACCTTATTTCTGCCTCTTAAAACCTGATACCCAGTCCTCACTGGCTGTACACATCACCCATGTGCACCATTACAATGATGCTGAAATTCACTGTGCAGCAGCACACCCCACGTAAGCCCTTGCGACACAATGCCCACAGGTCACAGGATTGAATATAAGATGCATTTCAAGCTTCTGTTAGGTGTAGATCCCTACTCAGCTCCCCCCACATCCCGCTGCAAGGATGCCCCCAATGTGGAGGAGAGGTGGGCTGTGTCATGTCTGTCACTCATGAGGTGACACAGCCACAGTGGGCACTGGAATCCACCAGTCTGCAAACTTACTGATAGTAAGGCTGTCGTTGAGCTTGAAGCTGCAGAGTACCTGGTCGATATTTCTTGCATGATAAAAGCCGTTGCCTCTTACCACAACTTGAAATGATTCTGTAAGTCAAAATACAGAAGAGTAATGAAAAATAGCTCAAATACAGTGTTTCCATCCAGAGTGATCTGAATTACAACACGACAATGGCTGTTCTCTGCCCTATGCCTGAAACAAAACATTGACACTGACACTCTCAATATTCAGCAGCAATGGTCAAGAGTGCTACAGCGGCACTGGTGCTTCACAGAGTAATGTTTGTTTCAAGGTTGCTCCCACAAGCACCCCATTGACCCCCAATGCCTTAATTGAAGGTGCCACAGTAATACCGTGAGCCTGACATGTCTGATGTCATCTCATGGCTCCTCCATGGCTTTTGGGCCAGACACCTTTGCTAACCATAAGCACCAGTCCTTCCTCCTATCTCCACAGCAGATTGCACTTGGCTTTCAGCAGCAGCTCTGTTCAGACCGATGCAGACAGACAGGACTCCTCTCATAATCCCCTGTGAATCAGAGAGGAAGCTTTACATCTGGTACAAGTCCTGGAAAAATACAATTTTTCAGTCCATACAAGAACTGAGCCTGTGCACAGCCCCATTAGTATCTGCTGCGCATGAGAATAACTAAAGACTCATGTGCTGCAATTTTCTTTGTGCTCTTCCCCCACACCCCTGTCCCAGCAGCAGAAGCCACCAGTGGCACAAGGAGAGACCTGCCATATCAGACATGCCGTATGCTGGCCAGAGCAAGCACTCCTAAACCTGCCCTTGAGCTGCTCTCAACTTCTGTTGCTTCAGTCCTGTTGGGGGGGCACCTGTGATTTTTGTCATTACTGTGAGAAGCAACAGTGATTTGTTCATCCCAGCAGGAAAAGCATTGTCAGTTTTTTTTCCAGCCAACCTGTCAATGGTCTTTTTACTGACAGAGCAGTTTCACACCCGAGTAAAGCCAACCTAGGAAGGCTGCTGTCAGAGGTGAGATCCCAACTGCACATGCCCTCCACTGTTGGCACCACTGATCACATTTGCAGTGCACTGAGCTTGCTCACACACCTGAAAAATAACCCTCTGTTGCCAGAAAGATCAGTAAAGTGATCTGCCTGGACGAACGTCTGCTGGGAATAGAAATGTGCAGAAGAAGGGAAGGGACAGAGACAAGTGATAAACTCACCTGATGTGAGTTTATGTCTGTTGTGAAACCCCCTCAAGTCAGCATACTGGGACAGTTAGAAACAGGAAAGGTAATTTGAGGAAGAAGGTATTAAGAAGCCTAGTTTGGTTTCTCAGCTTCTCCACAGCAAGCTTTTAAAATTATTTCTTAGTAACCTATATAGGTAACACTCTCAGAGCTCTGATAACAGCACAACACAACTGTTTGTTGCTCTTCCTTCCCTTTTATTTTATGCAGGTGGAGCCTGACACTGAGCCAGTCTCCTTCCTCTTGGGGCCAGCCCGAGTTGCCAAGCTAGGCACAAGATGCACTGGGAGGGGATGCGGAACGGGAAACTTCCCTCCAGGTCACAAAATACATTGCAGCTGCTACACTGACCACAGGGATAACATCTTTAACACGGGCAGGTGGAGACACACATTGCAAATTTGTTCTGTGCCAAACGTATTTTTGAAACTCCCTTTGATGCTACACACAAGAAGCCAGCTGACAGCAGAGACCCACAGCACACAGCAAGAGAAAGCCCAGAAGTTGCTGCACTTTCACACATAAATCTCCTGCTTTAGCTGAACTCTCCACAGAGCTTGCTTATACCAGCCACTGAGCGGCATTTGAGACCAGCCCAATACCAGGTGGATACCAGCACAACACAGGGCCAAATAATCTCCAAGCTACACACACAGAAAAACAAGAATAAACTGCATAGAAGTTCTCCACTAGCAGCAAGTAAAACCATGAACAAGTCCACACACGTTATCAATTATACTTTGACCAACATACTAAAAATGAGAGGAAAACAATGTTGATAGGATTGAGTGGAGTGGTACCTATACCTAATTTTTACTGATACGAGATCTGGCTTTTGATAATATTTCGTATGATGTGCTGCCGTGTTATTTGTATGCTTTGGAGGAAGGCTTGTTATTGGATAACACTACATGAGGCCCAAAGGTGGCCAACATACATATTCAGCTTAGTCTGCCTGCTCTTCACTATCAAGTTACTGCAAGGCAAGCTGGCACGAGGATGTGGAGTGCTTTAACTTTTCTGTACAAACAGCTTGTTCTCGCCAAAACCACATTCTCACTACATTGAGGTCTAACGCAACTCTGGGTGAATTAGACAAGAGCATGCTCTGGTTTTCCTCATGGTAACTTTCCCTTAGAGCAGTACTCTGAACTGACACAGGCTGCAAGGAACATGGGAATCAGAGGAGATATTTTGGGAGGGGAAAAAGAAAATATCTACTGGAGTGCATATTAAAGTGAAACACATGCTTTGGCACTTTGCTGGAGAAAGATGATCAAATTTGAGACCTCACTGAGCACATCAGGAGCCAAACACGCAAGTCCAACATCAGAATTTGGCCTCTTTTTTAAGGAAAGGGTTATACCTCCTGGTTCCCACTGGCAGTGGAGGGCACTTCTTTAAACAAATAGAAATGGACTGTAGGGCAGATTCAGCTGCTTCTTACTCCAGTAAGAATCTGGAGTTAATCTAAGTCTGATTCATGCCTTGAGCCACTCCACATTTAACCCAGCTGATATGCTGAGAGTTACTCTTGATGAGCATCCCTTTTTTTGCCAGCAGAGCTGAGAGTCATGGCCAGCCCCAAGGGCAACTGGGCCCCTGCTCACCCACCAGAACCTGGCCAGGTCCCTGCCTGGGACCACGCATTACCCCAGACTTGCTTGTAGCCAGCCCACCCCACAGCGACTTAAACACTCAGCTAAGATAACATCTTTTTGTCTGCCTACATTCTAAAAGTACCTTGCCGAAATAAAATTGCAGGTAGATTCCCCCCCTCCTGAATGGATGGTCTTAAAAGGCAGCAACCACAAAGGCTTAATTGATAGCTATTGCAGTGGCAATGCCTTTAAGAAGTGGCAGCAAGAGACTTACAACACAAAACATCGAAGGCAAAAGCTACATCTAGAAGTTTAGTCTTGTCAAGATAGTTTACCTCTCCTGCCCTTCTTTCCACTGTCAGTGCCACTCCGCACAGTCAGTTGTGAATACCTCACTCTGTAGTAACCTGTCCACCAACATAAGCTGACAATATAGTCTTGATACCAGGCTTGCACGGAAACGTAAACAGCTGGTACTGGATTTGGTTGTTGCTGTTAAGAAGTCTGCCCCTTCAGATGCTCTAGAGCATTAACATGTTCCGGATGATGGTCTGTTGAAATGGCTAATTCCATTTAATTTTGCACCCTGGCTCTGGCTGCGTCCTTTTCTTCCTTAGTTACTGTCAGATCATAGATTGTAGCTTTTGACAAGACAGCGAAGGGAAAAAGGTCAGCACTGAAATAACCAGGCAGCGCTGGCAGCGAGATGGTAGGTTGAAGCTGGTGTGCACTGGCTGCGCTGTCGGCTTCACTTCTGCGACTCTGATGAGAAGCTGACGCCTTGCATCCACACCTGGTGGTTGATGTGGCCAGTAGGATGCCACATCCAACAAAACCTTTCAATCACATCCGCGTACCGTAAGCATAATCAAAGCAATGATGCTGTCAAACAGGGTATGAGGCACCTCCAATCCTGCACTGATAGCCTGTTTACAGGCTGCATGTCTTGGTCACTTTAAATCAGAGGGAATGGGAAGGACCCAATTACATTTCTCCGCATCAAGGATGACAAATTTGCAGGGTCAAAAAGCATTAAGCATCAGATAGCTGTCATAACAGGACAAGATCAATTTGTAAATGGACTTGCCAGATAGCTTCGTCAGTCCCACATGGAAATCGTTTCATCAGCAATTTGCTAAACCTCTGGCAAGTCAAAAATGAAGCCAAGATCACCAGTTACCACAGTGGTAATTAGGAGTTGTAAGAACAGTTACAAGGAGTGGGTCAGAGCCTGCTCTAAGCCCTGATCATGACTGGCTTCCACTGAGCAACACAAAGCCCTCATGATCTCATACCAGATTCTAAAAATCAGTAATAATGCTAAATAAAAGCCAAACCAGTTATCACCTCCTCACTCAGATAAGTTTCATACAAAAAGCACAGACAGAGCCACGTTTCAAGGCTGTAAACAAGCAAGCTTTTTTGCTGGGAGAATGAGATAACTTGCACTCTTTCAAAAGGTCTACTATTTTTCAATCAAAAATTTGAAATGCAAATTTAAATTATTTTTTTTTAAAACAAAATTCCTAACTTTGAAAAAAGGAGGAAGAATGTTGCATTTCTAGAAAATGTTATGTTCTTACTCTCAGCCAGTTCTAAATGCAGGTGTATATATGTTTTTGTATAGGATTATCAGTAAACTACATTAGTAATTACCTAAATTTAAAATGCTTTAAAATCCTGAGATGACTTCACAGGCTTCAGTATTTTTTGCATTAAAGTCCAAAGAAAGTACATTAAAAAAAAATCACATTACATATAGAGCAGAACTACATCTGACTGTCCAGTGAACTGGATTCAGGATCTGGATTCACACTGCCATGAAAAACATTGTTCACTCCCAGGAGATTCCCTCCAGGAGACAGTGGTGCACACAGCTATAAAGATGAACCTCTGGCTATGTTGAAGTAAGGGGGATAATAAAGCCAAGCACAAGTGTAAATATTTGCAGCCTCATGCTGTAAAACCTCTTGCAAGAGTTCATCTCAGCTAAGGCTTGCAGGCCTAGACTCATAATAAAAGCTATTACAGGCCTGATTCTTGGTGCTAAAGACCACTGAACATGACAGTATGCACCATTCGGAGCTGCAGTTTTGGCTTCCTCCTATTTTCAAGCTCCCTGCTGCTACAAGCAAACCCTGAAGCACGTGAGATCCAAGTCTTCATGCCCCGGTGATTCAACACCACATTTCACCATGTGCCAGCCTTTGCTGGACAGCTTTGTCAACAGGGACAGAACAAGCCTCAGAATTTAAGTGAAACAAGTGCTGGCATTTTGCTGAATCAGCATCAGTACACAAAAAATGGTTCTGCCTGATTTATATTGGTCTTATTTGAAAGCCACAAAGAGAATGGGAAACTTTTACAGATGCAAGTAATGCAACTTTTTTTTTTTTTTAAAGGAGGGCAAACTATTTTTAAGTGTACTTGTGTATTTTTGATCACGTTTGTGATAAACTAGGTACCCAGCAAGCTTGGCAAAAAATGAATCATAGAATCATTTAGGTGGGAAAAGACCCTTAAGATCAAGTCCAACTGTTAACCTAGCACTGCCAAGTCCACCACTAAGCCGTGCCCCTAAGCACCACATCTACACATCTTTTAAATACCTCCAGGGATGGGGACTCAAACACTTCCCTGGGCAGCCTGTTCCAATGCTTGACAACATTCACCTTTCTGTGAAGAAATTTTTCCTAATATCCAATCTAAACCTCCCCTGGCATGAGGAGAGTGGTTTCAACTCATGAATCAGGAATCAAACTGATTCCTTTGGGGGGGGAGGGGGGGGATTACTCTTTTTGCTGAAATATATCCATTTTTGAAAAGCAAATCTTTTCTTGAAAATTTATTTTTCTCAAATCCTTTAGAAAAATATTTCCAAATTTCCATTTGAAAAAGTGGTTTCAAATTCAACTTTCCAATATTCTTAACTTTGTTCCAAACAATTAGAAGAATACTACTGAAATCCCTCCTATTGGAACACTCACATTTTCACGTAGCTAAATGCAATTTTTGTTGAACAGGAAAGCTTGCAATAAGCTGTTGCACAAAAAATTGCCTGGTAGAAAATAAGCAAGCAAAAAAAGAAAGAGTTTATCACTATGAAAAAAGCTTCGAAATGTCAAAGCTTTAAATTTATTTTTGATCAACTCCACATAGAGATTTTTAAAAGCAAAATCATTCCTTTTTTAATTTTTTCACAGACAAGATTTTATCACAAACGTCTAGTCCACAATTATATATTTAGGAATAGTTCAAAAGAAACAAGGATATTTCATTTTGAATTGAAATACTCAAGGCAAGATCATATTGTGATCGACAAGTGGAAATGAAGAATGAACAATTTCTCTTCTGTGATATTTATTAGATTTTTCCCGTTTCCTATTTTTATCTGTTTTCAAGGTCAGCTTTCATGCATCACTGCTATTTTATTTTTATGTGCTCATTTTTACAGCATATAAGGAAATGAACACAAGACAGTAACATCAGATCTAAATAACCATGCTGTAAACTGTACCTTCCAGCAAACTTATGGTGTCACTCTTACTCTGCTGCAATAGCCTCTTAAGTAGACAAAAACACAGCAAGTGAATTCCTAACGTAAACCGGAACAAATCCAAGTTAAATCTACTAGACATGAAAGGCATGAAGTTATCAACAGCTCCTCTGGGGATTCTTCACGTTTACCATATACACTAACGGTTCTTTCATTGCAAATAAGGAAAACGTTAGTACTTTGGAAAACACGTCAGGTATCGTGTCCTATGCAGTTAATTATACCTGGTTCAATAAACCTGAAATTTCTGTGAATGCTTTGCAAAATCTGATGAGTCCTAGCAGATCCCAGGAACGCAGTCTTTCCAGAAATTTGTGAGACATTGCCTTTGGACCCTAACACACCTCTGGCAGACTGACTTCCTATCACTTCTGTTTCCTCTTTCTCTCAGATATTTTAATAAGCAGCATCCCCAATTCCCTGAGTGCTACCTCAGCCAACTCTTCAAGTTGGTATTAAGCTGCAGCAGCTACGTGTTTATCTGCACAATTTTTTTTCCTCAAGCTGAGAAGGGACACGCAGAGCTTTAGTCATGGCCTGAGGGGACACTCTAACACATCCACGGGCTTCAGCTCCAGTACCACATTAGGTAGTTACTGACATTTTGTCATTGTCATTCACTCGTCCTATCACACTGTTCTTGTGGAAACTTACCTCCCGCACAAACGCTCGATGGTTCAGCCGCTAGGATCTCAATGCAAGATTTCTTGAGAATCTAAAAGATTTAGAGAATGGCATTTTTGGTGATCCATTATTTTTATCTATGCTTTATTAATACAGGAAAGTGTGCCCTTTTCTGGGTTTCAGAATACCCAACTTACTGAATCAATGGTTCCTCTTAGGGCATAAAAGCCTCCTGTAACTGGAAAAACATGATCGATGCTGTCAGCAATTGTTGACAGCTGCAAAGAAAGACAATCATAAATCATGAGGAAAACAAAATTGCAGTGAACAAAACCGGGCCCTTTCATACTTGCTAAAAGACATCATACGGACATGAAATGATTTATGCCTCAAGTAATTAAATAAATGCCTTCATCTGATGCTGTTACATGTGCAGTAGTATAACAGAAAAACAAAACAAGAAGAAAGCAAAGTTACCTGAGTTTCATTGAAATCTTTCACTCCAACACAGTAAACAATAGCTCCAAAGCTTCTGGCTCTGTTGGCCTAAATAAAAAAAAAAAAAAAATTGCCATTAAATGCAAAGCCATATAACCAGTGGAGCCAACAGTAAATGCCTACACATTTGACGCACGGTAACTTGGGTAAACGTGAAGGTGACTTACTTCTTGTTCTGCATAATAAAACTGAACGTCTCGCAATTCTCCATCCGTCAGAGCAATAATCACACTAGCGGTCCGAACTCCTACATGGAGGATAGTTAACAGATTGCATACGTATGACACAAGAGTCAGCAATGAAAACAGTTTGAAGTGAAGCATTCCTTTTTGCTGACAAATAAATACAAAACCATAAGGCCAGACTCTCAGCCTAATTTGTATGGACTTTATTGGCAATATATTGGCTGAAGGTCAGATGCATAATAGCACGTAATAAGCCAAAACCTGTGCACCTTCATACCACAAGCATCGCTGAAGGGGAGAAGTGCTCTAACAAGGTCTGTGCACAAACTTCTCTGTTCGGCGCAAAATACAGCGCCTACCAAGATCATCTCTAGACCCTTCGTGTGGAGAAGTGGCAAAATGGATCTGCAGAGAGGGAGAGGTTTCCTCTCTTCTCTTGACAAACCTATCTCTACACAAACCTTGCCCAGAGATTGTGGTAAGAGATACCTCTGCAAAAGGAGCTTTCCTGCCATCCTACCTTCCCCTCTAGCAGACTTGCAAAGAGCAACACCGCTGAACATAGCATGAAGTGTGCTTCTATACGGGGTTCAGTCCTACACGTCTCAAGCAACAATAGCTGTCAGTGAAGTTCACAGGAATTCTGAGCATATGAAAACCTTAAGATCAGGTCCATTGGAGAAAATTCATGTCTTGTGATAAGCTTAGGTGGCATATGAAATGTCTTAAGTGAAAAGGTTGCATAGACTTTGGATAGCTATATATGTAATGCAGTACAGAATACAATGCTACCTGAAAAAAAGTAACGCATGAACAAAATTAAACCAAATTAATGTGCAAACTATGGTTCAATCAACCATTCTGCATCCACAGTTCTTAAGCAAAGTAACTAATACACATACATGTTACTTTCAGGGAAGTATTTGTTATTTTTGCAAAATAATCTGTTACAATTTCATGTGTCTTTCCCCATACTGCCTGAATTTAAAGACTGATTAGTTCTGACAGGTTTCTTATGCCATGCAGTCCTTCCCATGTCATGTCAGACACAGACATAAGTCTTAAAAAAAAGTGACCTGCAACTTGGGGGTAAAAAATTGCTCGGATTCCTGTACTCCTCTTGTTTTTTCTGCCCAGCATGCTTGAAAAAGGCTGAAAAATTGGAGACCTTGTTTTGTTTTCTTTTGAACACTTGTTTGTTGCCTGATATTTTAGCTTATAAATCCAGATCTCATCGACTCCTTTTTCCTTCCTAATCAACTTACAGAATAGTTGATTAGTTCTTAGCTATATGTTATGAAGAGGTAAAATAGTTTTCAGTTGGACTCTTCAGGACTCTTGATTTTGCTGGCAAAAGTGTCTGAGAAGCCACGCAGAGTTGCTGCTGAAGACTCTACACTTACAGCCTATTTTATTAGAAAGGCACTGACCCATTTCTCCATCTTCCAAAGAGACCATCAGCCCACAAATGATAACAACCTCACACGAGGGTACGAACCAGGCAAGAAGCATTCAGTTTAACTAATTAGGCCTTCTTTTGGCACAGACAAAAACCACAAACACCACATTTCCCTCTTGAAATTTAGTGGAAATTTACATTTTAGGAACTCAGAATCTGATCCCAAATCATTCACACTGATGCAAAAATCTTAGCTGGTTGCATTCATACCTACACTAACGAGAAGGACGACTTGGGCACACAAGGCAGACAGGGCTGAGTGCATCAGGACAGAAGGGCACAGGAAGACCTGGTTGCATTCATACCTACACTAATGAGAAGGACGACTTGGGCACACAAGGCAGACAGGGCTGAGTGCATCAGGACAGAAGGGCACAGGAAGACCTGGGTATTCCTGTCCCCTGGCTGTGGGGCAGGCAGTTCTGGCTGTAATGCTTTGGTCTGTATTCTGCACTGGGTCAGATCTGTGATCATACTGGTCTCCTCTGGTCTTAATAAGCCATGAATCATGCATTTAAAATTAGAGCTGTAGTCAAAATGGAATGTAGTGATTGTGTAACACCAATTCCTTCTCCAACACTTCTCTTGGCGAGTTTACTGCAGGTCATATAAAGAACTATCATCCCTGCCTCTTCAATGCAGGTATATAACATGAGTGATATACAATGCCTACCTCCATAAGTTTCGTGGTAAATCTGCTCATTTGCCTGCAATGAAGTGTAGAACATTGTTAGCTCTTAAGTACAGCAGCAGCAAGCAAAACAAAGTTTATACATATAAATCAAAGAAAGGAGGTACTGCAATGTGTACCCTTTTAAATCCTTCATGCATGAATGTGTCTCCTCCAGGCACTTCATACTGAAGAATATCGAGCCCTCGTCTTATGGCTTCCCTTGGGATAAGAAAAAACAGGAGAAAGTTTTAATAAAAGTTTGTTTTGTTGAGATATCCCTGTACCACAGCTAGATTATGCACCCTGTCAATACACTGCACACAGTGCATACACACTAGCTAAAACATTGGAAAACCCAAGATTTTTCAAAACCCCCAATCTTCCAGCCAAACACCCATGGGGGCACAAAACCAGACATATGATACAATGTTAGGGCTAACACATTTTAAGGGCGCAATTCTGTCCCTGCTCCCTCATTCTGGTACACTGTCAAGCAGGATAAGATTGAATTAAAGCAAATGCCAGATATTAAACTCTGACAAACTGCAGATGGAGTGAGAATTTAAAAACTTATGACCCTGTCATGAAAATGGGACAAGTAAAAACTCCATATTCAATCATCAGGACAGTTGGAATTAGGGCTTTTCCATTATAAAGACAGAGGCCAAAAGATAAGAGAATAAGACAGGACAGATGAGAATTTCCTATCCTAGACCAGCGACTGATCAAAATTCCTGGGGCACAGACTGCTCCCTGGTAAGAGACAGACTTGATACCATGACCCCTGTTGCATAGCTTCTTGCTCCACAAACACATACCTGTTAACCAAGAGGATTGCTCAGGGAAATTAATAATTTAATTGATCACTGATCACTGAGAGACCCTGATCCTTAGCAAAGTTTTCATCTATTAATGGAACACAAATAAGGCCAAATCACAAAACAGATATTCAACAGACAAGATGTAGGAAGTCCAAACATCAGCCCCAGATGCTATAGGGCACCCTTTTTTTAAAAGGATAGCGAGAGCCTCTCTAAGCTGCATTTTGCAACTGGGCATTTTAGGCAGCACAACCCCAATTACAGAGGAAACAGGAGTCTATGTGGGACAAAGGTAAAATCAGGAGCTGGGACTGGGGGTGTCCTTAGGGCAAAAAGCACATTTTTACCCTTTCAAAGTATAAAATGAGCTGAAAAGGCACACACGGTGATCCATACAGAGAACAGAAGTTTTGGAGAGGGAACATTCTAATACCATGTTCCACATATTGCCACAGGGTTCCTGTCTCCTTTCCACCTTGCAAAGAGCAAATCCCCCTGGGAGAAGTAAGGAAGTTTGAGCTCTGTCACCAAGGAACAAGATGGAGACCTGAGCCAAAACTCAGCAGAGCCAGCAGAAATGCAAGACCCCTGTCAGGGTTTCTGGCTTTGGATGAGGCCCTGGAGTACAAAATGGAGGGGGGGTGTTGTTTCAAGACTGCTCCAGAGCCCCCTTGTTTATAGGGTGTACAGTATTACTGAGGCACACTCACACAGACAGAAGCAGTAGCAGAAGCAAGGGCTTTAAGCTGAAATGAAAAACACTTAGAAACACCTCCATGACAGGGATTTCTGTGTGAGGTGAATTAAACCCCAAATTGTTTGGGTTTTTGGGGTGGGGTTTTTTAATGGTGGTTTTTTGGGGGTTGGGGTTTTTTGTTGTTGTTGCTGCTGCTTTCAGGGGTTTTTTGTTTGGGTGTTTTTTTGTTTGGTTTTTTTTTTTTTTAGAAAAAAAGAGGATTTGGTTGTGAAGGTGGCAACAAGAATTTTGCTGCAGCCTCAGACTCTCTTTTTCTTAAAAAGTCTGTTGCTTGGCTGTGCAAGCCACCTCTGGCAGGGGTGCTGTCTGAAGGCAGCCCAGGAGAGGCGTGCGATAGCCTGGCAAGGCAGTGCTCCAGCACGGGGTATGACTGGCTGCTGGCACAAAGTTCAGGGCTTCAGGCCACTTCAAAGGGCACTGTGGGACTTTCGTACAGTCTTTTGCTCATCAACTCAGGGCCCGAGAGATCTTACACAAAAACTGCCCTTATTTGGGTAGCTGAGGACAGCAAGGACATACACAAACCCTTGACTGGAAACACAGTTTCTCCCTGAAATACTGCAAGAAAGAACAGACAGCCTGGCACTGCCTTGCTCTTATAAGGCTGAAAAAATGGTGACGGGAGACCCAAAGGCCTTCTAAGCCCTCTTCCAGTTGTGAACACTGGAAAAGATCTCATTTCAGTTGGAGCCACACCGAGGACCGAGACAGAGCTCTGAATTCTGTTTTTGGGGCCACTCGCTGCCCAAGAGGAGGGATGGAAGGTATTTCTGGATGAAAGCGATGGAGTGCTTGCCTGTTTTCTGTTAGTTTCATGACTGTAGTGCCTCGTGAAGAAAAAACGATGAAAGACATCCGCAACATTGGACTGAAACAGAAGAACAAGCCAGATCCAGGTCAGACACACATTACTTCAGCAGATTTTCATTTGCTAAGAAGTAGTGAATGAAAAAATAAATTATATCTATAGCAGGTTAAAATCTCATCTTAAGAAAACTTTACCTTATGAACTTCTCAGCTAGACTCTCCACAAAAGAGTAAATCTCTGTCCAATGATTTCTGACACTTCCAGACCTGCATACAAAACATAATTGATTACATTAATCTTATTTCACAGTGAAATTCCTTGTTACACTCTGAATTTTAAGCCTGGGCTACTCCAAAGGTGGTTAGGGGACACAACTTCCCTAAAGGTCTATGGAGGCGAGACAGCTAACTCTGTTGAGGCTTCTACAGCCGCTGTGTTGGAAGCTGTGACAGGAACCATCCATGACAAAACCCACTGACTCAGAAGTAGAAATACATCTGAAATGGTTTACCATACAATTTCAAAACAAGTTCAGTAACTCTTCCATCTGTTTCTATTCCTTCTATAACATGAAATATAAATATTTTCTTCTGGTTTAATTAATTTTATTTGACTTCACTAGATCATCTGCTAGCAGATTATTTACTTTCCTAGAACACAGCTCTGCCCTTGCAGCCACACAGAAAGTCTTGACTGATCTCCTATTCTCCCAGAACACGTGGGAGAATGTTTCCATGAATTACTGTTTGTTTCAAGAGAGAAAGCTTTTGAAGTAATTCCGAAGGGAAAGGCAGTGCTTGTAGCTAATTCACTGGACTAGCATTCTGGACAGTCAATCCCTGGCTGTGTTACAGATTTCATGTGAAAACTTGGGCAACTTAGTTACATGCACAAACTTACACATTCATGCTGCTGCTCCCAATATATAAAACTGCATTACTGGCACTCCCTGGCTTTTTTCTGCCTGGTCTTACATTCTCAGCAACTCTGCAGTAAATGATAGGCGATTTCTACAATGATAGGCTATTGCTACAATGTGGAACTATGCCATACACTTTCAAGCCTTTAAAAAGACTACAAAGCATGAGAAGTCAATGATTTTAAAAGCCCCCCCTTAGGACTGTGGTGTTTATGAGAGAACGGCTCATTCACCTTCCTTGCCAGGCAAGCTCGTGTATCATGTGTCTTAGGCAGAAGCATAAATAAAATAACAGCACATACAGAAGGATCGCAGAAGAACTAAAAAAATTTCAAAAATATAACTACTGTAAAGCAGTAGGTTTCCTCTAACTGCTGTTAGACATTTTTCTGTGTAAATGGATAAGAAAAGAAGGGGAGAAAATGATCCCACGTTACAATTCTCAGTTCTACCATGGGCTTTCCAAGCGACCCTATGCCAGTCACTTCTGTCCCTGTACACGAGGTACAGATCAGGGTACAGAAGCCCACACAATATGGCACTGCCTGCCCTGCAACGGTGCTGCTGGAGTGGAGGCGAAGAACAAAGATAAAGGCCAAGGACTGAAAGGAGACCCCTGAAGTACATAAACTAGAACATGCTTGCTTGTGTAACCCTGTGCTTTCACACTGCTCTTCTGGAAAACTGGTGATTCATTCACCGAACAAACTGGTTATCAAAGAACAAAGAAATTGCCAGGCACGGACGGAGGGCAACAAAGCACCAGTGACTGCTCGAACCAAGGATCTGGATCCTCTGCAGTCTCCAATTTATATGTGCTAGGCAACTGATGAGACATGATTATTCGTGAACAGCACCGATGAAAGGTGCTGGCACTATTAGTAAGTGAGCCCTTTTCACATCATTAAAAAATAATCCATGCCGATGGGAGGTATGTACTTCAGGCACTGCTTTTCCGGAAGGGAGCTGAGGCAGTCCAACACCTATAATTCTGAAAGTCATACACTAAATCTCTAAGCATGCTAAACTCCAACAGATTTTCCTTTAATCTATGCAAGATGCATTTACAGCTCCCAGGTTTAGGTTTTTGGTTGTTTGGTTTTTTTAATTCTTTCCCCTCTGGAGTTGACATTTCAGTTTCATTCTGAGCTTGCCATCTCTCTTAAGTCCAATTCCTGCACTTCCCAATGGAGTCACTTCCCTACATAGAATAGCCACAGTTTCTTACTTGGAAAAGGCTGACCTATTTTGGATGAGGTATCAAGTTTCTACTGCCAGCTGCAGAGGCACTGATGCAATCCAAAAAAGAAAGTAGCAACGAATTTTCTTTATAACAGCAATAAATCATCATTTCCAGTACCTTCTTAGGACTGTCAGCATTACTCCCCCTGCCCCCCCCCCCCCCATTTT